TGGCCAGATGACGCTACGAAATCAGTCCTTCAAGGTAAAAACAATTTTCGTCTAGTCAGGTCATTTTGTCAATAATGATTTGATTTTAATTACACTCACATTTGTTCCAAAATTGTTTAAAATAAGAATAATCATTTTGGAATAGTTAACGTATTATTAATAGCTATGTATTGTATAAAAAGATACTTGGGATATGTTTATTAATTTAAATAAGGAGAACATACGATGCCTTTCTGTATGGGCTTGGTTTCCCACTTCTCGGAAAGGTACTAAAAAATCTGTTACCTACTCATTATACAAAAAGCTTCAACATTGATCACATTTTTGATATAATTGAGGAAATTACGTATACCTTAACGTCGGACAAATTACATATGAGAAGGTAACACTACAATACAGTTTTACTAGAGCCGATAAAACTTAAAATAAGAAATTAAATATTAAATAAACTTAACCGAATAGAAGAGAGTTACATAAATACTGGGAATTACAAAGTGGAACAAAGTACCAGTTACCTACGAAAGTAATCAAAAACATTTAATCTTCTACAGATCCAAACTACGACTTTATAGTAGTGGGCGCTGGTTCTGCGGGCGCAGTGGTCGCCAACAGGTTAAGTGAAGTGCCCGATTGGAAAGTTCTACTCGTTGAAGCTGGAGGCAACCCCGGGTTAACTACTGAAGTAAGTATAGTTAATCTATACTTAAACACTAAACGCCAAAAGTCCATTACAAGGCCACTAATATAAACAGCAAGCTATATTATCACGGCATGAACACAAATGCAAAGAAAACCCTACTAAGTACCTCATAATTAATGACTTAAACGTGTTTTTACAAATGAATGTTTCGTCCACAAACATTTTTAAATGAAACCCTTTCTTTTTCCAGGTTCCGCAACTATTCTACAGTAGTATGGGCACTTCGTTAGATTGGGGCTATAAAACGCAGCCTCAGAATGCTTGTAAAAGCTACACAGCGAAGGGCTGTGCTTGGCCTCGAGGTAAAGTGTTGGGAGGAAGCAGTAGCATAAACGCCATGTTCTACGTCAGAGCCAACAAGGCAGACTATGATGAGTGGGCAGCCAACGGCAACTATGGATGGAGCTACGATGAAATATTACCATATTTCATGAAAAGCGAAAATTTCACTGGAGAATTCACTGAAGAACGAAGCAAATATCATGGTCGCGATGGTCCAATTCATATTGTCGAAACTACAGAACTAAATCCATTCGAACAAATTACTATGCAAGCTGCTATAGAACTTGGACTGAAGAATTTAAGTGATATTAACGGTGCTGATCAAATGGGTATAACAGCATGTCAGTCTAATATTAAAGACAATTATAGATACAGCACCGCAAGAGCCTTTTTGACCCCTGTTAAGGACAGGAAAAATCTGCATGTGATGAAAAATGCTCTTGTTACTAAAGTTTTGTTCCACCCAGGCACGAAATCAGTTAAAGGAATACAGATTAGTAAAGATGGACAAGACATTATTGTAAACGCTAAGAAAGAGGTGATATTATCAGGTGGAGCCATCAATTCTCCACAAATTTTAATGTTGTCAGGTATTGGACCGAAACAACATTTAGAAGATATGGATATAGAAGTTATTGAAGATTTACCTGTGGGTGAAAATTTACAAGACCATGTGTTTTCTCCTATTCTCTATGCGATGGAAGCTGATGATAATTTAACTTCAATTGATGCTATTTCTTCTGCATTTGTTTAGTATTTTTTGAAAGGAACAGGACTATTTAAGAATACTAGCCCACATAGGATTATCAGCTTCATAAACACCACCCATCCTGATTCTTCAATGCCAGATATGCAACATCATCATTTAGTGTTACCACCTAGTATCTCAAATATGATTGACGTTTTTGGGAAGCACGGTTTTAACGATAATATTTATCAACAATTTTCAGAGCTAAACAAGAACCATCTTGTGATGCTTGTGTTCAACGTTCTACTACGTCCAAAATCGAAGGGAAAAATTCTTTTAAACAGCAAGAATCCTCATGAACACCCACTGATACACGCAAACTACTTCGATGACCCAGAAGATATAAAGACTATAATAAGATCAATGAGGCAATATGCATTTAGATTTGGTGAAACTAAGACGTTTGAGGCATCTGGATTTAAATTGAAATGGCTTAAGATCGAATCGTGTGAAGCATTTGAGAAACTAAGTTATGAATATTTGGAATGTATAGCTAGTGAGCTTACGTTTTCTCTGTACCACCCGACGAGTACTGTGAAAATGGGACCTAAGACTGACAAGGCGGCTGTGGTAGACCCAGAGTTGAGGGTGCACAATGTGAAAGGCCTGAGAGTGATGGACGCCAGTATAATGCCCGATGTCGTTCGAGGCAACACTAATGCGCCCACAATCATGATTGCTGAGAAGGGATCCGATTTGATCAAAGAAGCATGGCTGAGCAAACACTCTGAACTTTGATTCGTGTTTTGAGTGTACCAAGTCATAGCAGTACGCAATAAATTGTGATAAGTGTATCATGTAAATAATAAAATATTTTTTTAATGCCGTGTGATTTTTTATCATTATTTGAATGCGGTTTTCGTACTACTGGTACTCTTAACAGATTGCTCTTATGATGAAACGAGGCGTGCTCATGCAGTAATATTTTTGACTTGTAGATATCCATCATTCATTCAACCACACGATAAATTTAAGTAACAAAAAAAAATAATGATTACACTTCATTTACTTAACTAATATTTATTTTCTCGGTAAAGACATTATCGAACCACAATCTGTTAATAACCAGCTTCTGCCCGTGGCTGATTCCTAGGTCGGGAAAAGTATTACTGGGTTTTAAACAAATTCTCAGTTGTAGCACGGAGTCATGAATTGTGCCCGGTATATGGCAATAGGCTCACTCCCTATTACATGGGACTCATAAATAGTGAAAAGTGGGTGTTACTGACTCTGACTACCCCTTCGGGGATAAAAAGGCGTAATGTTATGTTATGTTATAATTCAATTTTTATAAAATGAAACTTACTTCACACTTCGCTAGAAGCTCTCACAAAACAAACATTGATCATCGTCTGCGCCAGATTTATAAGTCATCTGGCTTTAAAATAGGTACCTACTTACTTAAGAACGTATCAATCTTAAGACTTGCAGCGCCACTGATTGACGGCATCTTCACATTATCAGCAAGTTTCAATGTAATAATGATGATTTTGTTATTTAATTGAACAATGAAACAGTATATTTTTATTATTTAGATAAGACCACACACGCTTTATATTTTGAAAAGGATTATACTGTATGTAAAGTGCACGACTAAATCTATATGTATAAAAAAGTCGTCTTTTTTATGGAATAGGAGGCAAACGAACCCATGGACACCTGCAACACCAGAGGATTCACAGGTGCGTTGCCGGCGTTTTAAAAAAGAATACGCTCTTTACTTGAAGGTCTGAAGGTCGTATCGGTTCGGAAATAACGCCGACGACAGATCATTCTACAGTTTTACTGTGCGAGGCAGAAAGCTACGTGAGAAGCGCACAGTTGTGGCCTGCCAACCATCTATATGATGGGGATGCATATGCTGTCGTGAGGAAAGGTGGCGAAAAGATGCGGTAGGTATCAGGTCAAACAATTCCTCAAAGTACAAGCGACAAAAAATGCACAACGAAGCTACATCTCTACGCATTGCCAAAGTGTCTTAGTTACAATTTTTATAACTCAAGAACGGCTAAATCGATTTGGATGAAAATTGGTTAACAAAAGTTAAATTGATAAACTAAAAAAGATGTGAATTATATGCAATCAACCCATGAATACAGGTAAAGTCACAAGCAAATGCTAGTAATATATATTATATTCAAAATGTACAAGTATTTTTAAATGATACCAAATGATACCAAACACGGCATTTTTTTTACTCAGTTTTGTCCGCTAGAGGGCGCCACATTAGATTTGTAAAACCCCATATAGTCTATAACCAGTGGATAATTAAGACGCTTCTAATGATATGCCATTTGTTAAATTCTGATAAGTAGTTTAGAAGGTACGAGGGAACAGATGAACATACATACATACATAGCCTGTCAAAATCATAACCCTCCTTTTGCTTTGCCGTAGTCGGGTAAAAAATCAAAAGCATCCGACTTAAAATTAAACCTGAGCTTTCTTAGCATTCACAGTCGTTAAATCTATCAAACGTATATTGAGTAATCAATCTAGTTTGACAGTTAAGTATGACGTTACACAATGGTGCTATGGTATCCAGATTTTTAATCAACTGGCTTCCTGATTATGCATTTGGTTACTAGAGGGTCAATTAGTTCTAAGCAGTAACATAGACCATGAAATTATACTCTATGTATGTATAGTTATAAGCCTTTATATGTGTAACGAGGAGATATATATTTGTTTACAAAATAATTTATTATTATTAATACATGCAAGTAGGTGAAGAAGTTCAATGAAACGCCCTTATAATTACATTAAACTTATTAAAATTAATGCGAGCAGGTAATCCTTCGATTTCATTCAGGTATGCGGTGCGTTTAGATATTTCCTATTTTATTTTATTGAAATCACAGATTGCTTCGCAAGTTTAATAAATCGTATCTGCGTATGGAGTCCCCTGTTTAAGACTTTGTTTCAAATAAACCTATAACTGTATTTTAATGAGTATTTAAAGTATGTATATCGCTAAGTTAACAATAACAGTATGGTTTCTCCTTAAAAAATCAAAACTCATGCTAAACCATCGCAGTGCCTAAAACGATTTTTACAGCAAAAAGGCACTAAACAAAAAACAACACAAAATCTATCTATCAGGCGAAAAAAAAAATAGGAAGGAAGTTAGAAACAGTAGTAAAGTATAGTAAATGTAAAGTTTGTAAATGATAAGATCCCGCACAGTGACGCACGTGGCGATATCTGTTTAAGTATATCAGTAGTAGTTACTGTATAGACAACTATATATATATATACGTAGCTATTCGTATTTATATGTGTGTGTGCGTGTCTCTATCCAACGGTTAGTGGTTGACCGGCCAGCTATGCACTCACTCGTAATCTGGTAAATCGTTGTGTTATATCGAAGATTTATGTATACAAAATAATATAACTTAAATAACATCAGAAGAAATACAGTAAACGGTGAGCTTATTTTATTTCAATTAAAATAGTGTTGTGACTAAAATAATAGTGATTTTGTTTGGACAAGTAATTTATAGTTTTTGTTGATGTTAAAAAAACGGGATTTTGAATTAACACGATTTCTAAAGTTTGTTTGTATTAGAATGCGGGTGCAAGTTATCAAAATAGAATAAGAATATAGCCGACTTTCTCTGTTAGTTCACAGTTATAGTTACTTTCATCGCTTCATCTCGTTCTGCGCCGAGTTTAGTTACAAACCATTCTCGTTTATTTTGTTACAACTTCTTGACTAGTTGCACTACAGAAAGTAGTTATTAGTTAGTGTTAAATTTTACAGTAACTGTAACGCTGACTTTAACAGTTACAGCAAAATGTGTTGCACCAGTGAATTCAGTAGTTTGTCAATTGGCGCAACATAATTTTGACCTAACCGATACTTTAACAGAAATTTTGACGTTTAATATTGTTAAAGTAAGTTGGTGCAACCCAGCCTTATTGTTGTTCCTTCATACTATGATGAGTAACCAATATATGTTTTAGCTTGTGCATCAAAAAGTGTAATTATATGAATCTAAATTAGAACAGTTGAAAATCTTAATTACTTAAATATAACTGGTAGTAACTGGTGCTTAATAAATAAATAAAAACAATGATAAACTCTTTTGACCGCAGTGGGCCTGCGTCAAGTTTTATTAAAATAATGATTTTTTGTTGCCTAATGTATTTTTAATGTATAACTAGCACCTAGCCAACTAAAGTACAGTAAATTAATATAATATAACAAATATACATGTATATAAAAAAAAACAATGCCCTATGGCACAATACCGTAAGTTTATTTAATAAATATATATATGTATATGTTCATATATATGCAGGTAAAGTGTTTGGCAATTACAATTGCTGACACTGAAAAAATCAAACCGTCATCAATTTATAAATTAAACAGATAATATAAAATAATCCTTGGCTTTACCAACACACCCATATAAAATAAATTAATTATTAATTTTATTATATAAGAATACATGTTTCCATTTACATAATTATGGAAAGATTAGATAGTCGAAGAAAGTACATGGTGTGTGTGTTTATTTAGCAAATATTATGATAAAGACAATGGAGTGTTCGCATTGTATAGTCAATACATAGTATAAAACAAAGTCGCTTTCGCTGTTTGTCCGTATGTATGCTTAGATCTTTAAAACTACGCAACGGATTTTGATGCGGTTTTTTTTAATAGATAGAGTGATTCTTAAGGAAGGTTTATATCATGCATATTTCACCCGTGCGAAGCCGGGGCGGGTTGCTAGTAATAGATAATTAGGATTTGTTGGAAGATAAATTTATGACTATAGTAGATACTATTAGGTTATATTAGCTATAAACAATTTGAATTAGAATTTTGGTAACATCTCAAACGCACTACCAATCTTACTAATATTATAAATGGTAAAGTTCGTGTGTATGTATGTTACTCAATCACGTCAGAACGGCTGAAGTAATCGGGATGAAATTCGGAACAGGGGTAGGTTATGATATGGATTAAGACAAGGACTACTTTTTATCCCACGGAAACGCGGGCGAAACCGTGGGCAGGACCTAGTTTTGTTTAAATAGGTAAAGTAAACATTAACCATGTTAGTATTCAAGGCTAGGTAATTATTACCATGTTAGATGTATGTGTCTAGAATATTGAGAATTGTGAGTTTGATATTTTTTTGAATAACATTTAGTGATTAAATACGTCGTTGAAAACTCGACAACGTCTTAACAAATTTTTTGAAAGTTTAAGAATTGCAAAATACATTTTTATGTATAAAAAATAGCTGCGGATTAGCTAGATTATTTACACTAGCAGCCCGTCTCGGCTTCGCACGGGGTAAACAATTATTTATTTTTGGAAATTTGGATTGTTGTAGTGACATTACTACAATAGTTGGACATATGCCACGGGGAGTTTTTTGTAGACATTATGATGTTCTTCAATATTGTTGTACATTATTTTATTCTATCGCTAATAGTTTCGGTAGCGCATTCGCCGAAAGACGTTTTAAGACTCATTTTTCTACACCTTCGGTTACATTGTTCAAATTTTACCAAGATTCCCTATTTTTTAAAAAATAAAATGTAGCCTATGTCAAATTGTAAGAATGTAGTATTCTATTGGTGAAAGAATTTTTTAAATCGTCCCAGTACTTTTTGAGCCTATTCATTACAAACATACAAAAATAGGTACAAATCTTTCCTCTTTATAATATTAGTATAGATAAAGAAAAAAATAGGTACATAATCAAAATCAAGAGATAAAATATCGGCAAAAAATTAAGCTTAGAGAGAGATCTTTAGGTAATCTTAGAGTACGAAGTCTGCAGAATTAATTAGTACTAGAGTAATAAAAATTCGTTTATACACAGCCTGAGCTGATATTTTGTATAGAGTTCCTCGTCAAATAGTTACGTGAGAAACCGAAAACATAATAATTAATTTAGTATGTCTCACAAAAGTTATAATATAAACAATGAACAACTGTATCTGTTTGCAAACAAAACATAACATCACGCCTTTTATCCCCGAAGGAGTAGGCAGAGGTGCACATTAGGACACTTAATACCACTCTACAAGGTATCCTCCACTTTTCACTATTTATGTTTAACCCCCTTTTTTTTTTTTTTTTTTAAGGCGGGAAAATCATCGGGAGGGAGTGTCAGACTCTTACTGACTAAAAACCACCCCGTTCCTTCTCCTGCACGTCGAGCCGGAGCCCCGGTTACCCGTTAGGTTCTCCGCGACTCCGAATCGGCATCGGCCCTATTGGGCCCCATCTGTGGTGGTCTGATGGCTCTTTGAGGCGCGCGCGGAACGCGACGCGCCGTACGCTCGGGTCTGTTTCTGGTCGGACGGGGAGCCACCCATGCTCGCCGTCCGCAGGCCCGCGCTTACGGTGGCCGGAGATCGTCCCGCGATCCCCGACGCCCGGTGTGTCCTTCGCGATGGCTGGGTTGCGAGGAGGCAGCGCTTCGCTGCCTCACGCGTCCCGCCTCCTCCTTAGCTAGCATGACTGCTTCGCAAAAGGAGGAGACGGCATCCCAGTCCCCCTCGCTCCGCATCATGGCCTGCACTAGGCCCGGACGCGAGAGGTCGCCATCGCCGATCACTTCCCTGAGGACACGGCGGTGCTCAGCCCACGCAGGGCATTCCGCGACAGTGTGTTCCACCGTGTCCTCAGGGCGGTATGTTTTACCCCCTAAGGGTGAGCCTATTGCCATATACCGGGCACATTTCCAGACTCCGTGATAGTATTGAGGTTTTTTTAAAAGACCCAGTAATAATTTGGCCGACCCTGGAATCGAACCCAAGACCCTTCCTTTCTCACCCAGAGAAGGTGTGAGCAAGAGGTTTAAGCAACCCCAAACTGTCAAGTTTGTTCAATAGAACTTGGTTTTATTTTGATTTCAGGTGAAAATGTCGTGGGCGTGCAATCCAGCTGTGACGTCAATGATAGTGGACAGCTACCAGGTAGCTGGGCCATTATTTGTGCAAACCCTACAGACTTTGTTCGCAGCCCAATGTGCTCTAACAAGTGATCATCTATGGCCAGATGACGCTACGAAATCAGTCCTTCAAGGTAAAAACAATTTTCGTCTAGTCAGGTCATTTTGTCAATAATGATTTGATTTTAATTACACTCACATTTGTTCTAAAATTGTTTAAAATAAGAATAATCATTTTGCGATAGTTAACGTATTAATAATAGCTATTTATTGTATTAATATCACACAAATGACATATGAGAAGGTAACACTATAATACTGTTTCACTAAATAAATCAAAAACATTTCATCCTCTATATTTCAGATCCAAACTACGACTTTATAGTAGTAGGCGCTGGTTCTGCGGGCGCAGTGGTCGCCAACAGGTTAAGTGAAGTGCCCGATTGGAAAGTACTACTCGTTGAAGCTGGAGGCAACCCCGGGTTAACTACTGAAGTAAGTATAGTTAATCTATACTTAGAGGTAAATACTAAATGCCAAAAAGTCAATTACAAGACCTTTAATATAAACAGCAACCAATATTATCACGACATGAACATAAATGCAAAGAAAACCCTACTAAGTGCCTCATAATTAATGACTTAAACGTGCTTTTACAAATGAATGTTTCGTCCACAAACATTCATTTCGCATCCATCACCATTTCATCAATCAATCGCACGAGAACACATCACGAAGGACACACCGGGCGTCGGGGATCGCGGGACGATCTTTTTAGATTTTCCCCCCTTAAAAAAAACATGTTTTTACAAATAAATGTTTCGTCCACAAATATTTTTAAATGAAACCCTTTCTTTTTCCAGGTTCCGCAACTATTCTACAGTAATATGGGCACTTCGTTTGATTGGGGCTATAAAACGCAGCCTCAGAATGCTTGTAAAAGCTATACAGCGAAGGGCTGTGCTTGGCCTCGAGGTAAAGTGTTAGGAGGAAGCAGTAGCATAAACGGCATGTTCTACGTCAGAGCCAACAAGGCAGACTATGATGAGTGGGCAGCCGACGGCAACTATGGATGGAGCTACGATGAAATATTACCGTATTTCATGAAAAGCGAAAATTTCACTGGAGAATTCACTGAAGAACGAAGCAAATATCATGCTCGCGATGGTCCAATTCATATTGTCGAAGCTACAGAACCAAATCCATTCGAACAACTTACTATAAAAGCTGCTGTAGAACTTGGACTGAAGAATTTAAGTGATATTAACGGTGCTGATCAAATGGGTATAACAGCATGTCAGTCTAATATTAAAGACAATTATAGATACAGCACCGCAAGAGCCTTTTTGACCACTGTTAAGGACAGGAAAAATCTACATGTGATGAAAAATGCTCTTGTTACTAAAGTTTTGTTCCACCCAGGCACGAAATCAGTTAAAGGTATACAGATTAGTAAAAATGGACAAGACATTATTGTAAACGCTAAGAAAGAGGTGATATTATCAGGTGGAGCCATCAATTCTCCACAAATTTTAATGCTGTCAGGTATTGGACCGAAACAACATTTAGAAGATATGGATATAGAAGTTATTGAAGACTTACCTGTGGGTGAAAATTTACAAGACCATGTGTTTTCTCCCATACTCTATGCGATGGAAGCTGATGAGAATTTAACTTCAATTGATGCTATTTCTTCTGCATTTGTACAGTATATTTTGAAAGGAACAGGACTATTAAAGAATACTAGCCCACATAGGATTATCAGCTTCATAAACACCACCCATCCTGATTCTTCAATGCCGGATATTCAACATCATCATTTAGTTTTACCACCGAGTATCTCAAATATGATTGACGTTTTTGAGAAGCACGGTTTAAACGATAATGTTTATCAACAATTTTCAGAGCTAAACAAGAACCATCTTGTGATGCTTGTGTTCAACATTGTGTTACGTCCAAAATCGAAGGGAAAAATTCTTTTAAACAGCAAGAATCCTCATGAATACCCACTGATACACGCAAACTACTTCGATGACCCAGAAGATATAAAGACTATAATAAGATCAATGAGGCAATATGCATTGAGATTAGGTGAAACTAAGACGTTTGAGGCATCTGGATTGAAATTGAAATGGCTTAAGATCGAATCGTGCGAAGCATTTGAGAAACTAAGTGATGAATATTTGGAATGTATAGCGAGGGAGCTTACGTTTTCTCTGTACCACCCGACGAGTACTGTGAAAATGGGACCTAAGACTGACAAGGCGGCTGTGGTAGACCCAGAGTTGAGGGTGCACAATGTGAAAGGCCTGAGAGTGATAGACGCCAGTATAATGCCCGATGTCGTTCGAGGCAACACTAATGCGCCCACAATTATGATTGCTGAGAAAGGATCTGATTTAATCAAAGAAGCATGGCTGAGCAAACACACTGAACTTTGATGCGTGTTTTGAGTGTACCAAGTCATAGCAGTACGCAATAAATTGTGATAAGTGTTTCATGTAAATAATAAAATATTTTTTTAATGCCGTGTGATTTTTTATCATTATTTGAATGTGGTTTTCGTACTACTGGTACTCTTAACAGATTGCTTTTATGATGGAACAAGGCGTGCTCATGCAGTAATATTTTTGACTTGTAGATATCCATCATTCATTCAACGACACAATAAATTTAAGTAACAAAAAAATAATGATTACGTTTTATTTACTATTTTGTGTTATTTCAGACTATAATCTACCCCTGTTCCAAATTTCATCTCGATCCCTTCAGCCGTATTGACGTTATTCAGCAACAAACAAACATACAAACACATTAACACCGAACGAAGCAGTCAGCTTATAAATACGAAATGTGTATGTTGAATTTTACAAATATAATGTTTGACAATGCCAAAATAGTACTCAATAATTCTACAATTACTTGACACGTACTATAGTTAGCGAGAATAGATCAGTACTTTCAAATCACAAGAGATAAATGTTAGATTAGGTAAATATATCACGTGTATTGTGTCCACATGCGAAACAACGCGACCAGGGCCGCCTTAGACTTCACTGGGGCCCTTGGGCACACAATAATTCGGGGCCCTATTGGAATGACTTTTTTAACGTTGCATCACACTAGGATTTTGTCCTATATCGTATCGGCACATGCTACATGTTCACATACACATGATACCCAGACTCGAAACAACAATTTGTGGTTAACACAAAGATTTTCAAGTCCGCCAATTTTACTATATGTGCAATTAAGTTTAATAAATAAATAAACAAATTTGTTTCGTGTCGGAGTCGAACCCGCTACATGTTGCGGGGCAGCTTGTTTCCGCGCAACGTGTAGCGAGTATGCGTCTGTCGTAGAAATTGTCGGTCCTTCGGGGCCTCCTGAGGATGGGGTCGTGGGCGCGTGCCCCGAGTGCTCTCGTGGTAAAGACGGTACTGAACGTAACATCCTATTTTCGACAGTAATATAATAATTATGAGTCCCATGTGACAGGAGGTATACCAATTGCATACATGCCAGACACAATTTTCTCAATATTTAAATAACCGATAATATAGACCTATAACAATGAAAATGAAACCGAGACCCCTTTGTCGGTAACTCGGTACCGATACCTTCAGTTTCATGATCAACGACAAAATCAACCTTTTCATTAAAGAATTAATATTTTTTTATGGCATAAGTCGGTAAACGAGCGGACGGATCACCTGATGGTAAGCAATCGGTGCCGGCCATGGACATCTGAAACACCAAGGTGTTACAAATGCGTTCCCGGACTTTCGGGAATTGGGAAGAGAATGGGGGCTACAGGTTTTTCTTTGCCACTAGGTGGCGCAAATGTAGCGTCAACCTTTTTTTGTCCAATCACTGTATCTGTCAAATAGTGTGACATTAGCTAATTCCCTATTGGATGGAAAACGAAAGGTTTACACTTGTCATCTTTTTTGTGGGGATAAAATCATGCAATGACTTTTCCCGTAGGTCAATAGGCTCACCACCTATATGAGACTCATAACATAAATAGTGAAAAGTGGGTGTTACATTATACAGTGGCATAATGTGCATCTCTGCCTACCCCTTCGGGGATAAAAGGCGCGATGTTATGTTACTTCTCCCGTCTTAAGTTAGGCGGGAGGGAGTGTCAGACTCTTACTGACTAAATCCCACCCCGTTTCTACTTCTGCTCTTCGAGCCGGAGCCCCGGCAACCCGGCCTGTCGCTTAGTATCGAGCATCAGCCCTACTGGGCCCCATTTGTAGCGCTGTGATAGTACTGCCACCCGGTGAGTAATTAGACGCTAGATCACAAACGTAGCTAATCAGGTACTTAATTCCTGTCCACAGGCGCACCTTGTTGTCGCAGAAATTATGTCAAGTGTATCATATAACCACACATTGTCGTAAAACTTTCCTCCATTACCTTAATAGCTGTTCATATTTATCACTGGATTAGGGTGTTTACAACGTGAAACAATTATTTAGATTACATTTATTAGTATTTGTTCAGAACTAAACTCTGTGGTTATGATTGTATTAAAGTGTCATTGATTTGATAAGATTTTTTTCAAGAAAGACACACTTATTTGTGAGAAAACCTCGTTGGCCGAGTGCTCGCCAGTGCGACTGCCAGACAAGGGGTCTCGGGTTCGATTCCCGCGTCGGGCAAAGTATTACTGGGTTTTTTTTAAAAAATCTCAGTAGTAGCCCGATATATGGCAATAGACTCAACCCCTATTACATGGGACTCATAACATAAACAGTGAAAAGTGGGTGTTACTTCTGTGTGCACCTCTGCCTACCCCTTCGGGGATAAAAGGCGTGGTGTTATGTTAAAACCCTGTATTCAACACCAAATTTTCCATGAACCAAAACAATTTTAATAAAAAATATTAAAATTATATGAAAATGAGAGAGAGAGAGAGAGAATTCATGTTTACGACTACATGAAAATTGTCTTTCTTCTCCCGTGGTCCTTCATTAATGCCTTTCTTATTAGTCTTGGTGCCTCTTCACATGTTTTGGTTGCCAGGTAGCCGGCGCCAAGTACCCGGCATTGCAGTGTATGGCCATGTACTGTACCTTTCACACGTACCAGCGTCATTTGTATACACTGCGCCGCCGGCTACCCGGTACCAGCTAACCGGGAACCGGAACGTGTGAAAAGGCACTTACTATTTCTCTCATTTCCTAAAGAAGACATGTCTAACTTTAATTTTCAACAACTATTTCAGTTATCTGACCAATAACCAATCCAATTAACAGAAACAGAAAGTTTGAAAACAGTACCGAATAGGTACATGAACTTTTGACAATGATATCTCAATAATTTCAGTTGTCATTAAGATATGCGGACACAAACATCGAAAGAAAACCTGACAATCATTGTTTTCAATCAATCAAACATGTTGATAAGGAGTACTCGTCACTTTCGATATCAGGTGCATTGTATGATAAATAAAACAATGAATAGACAAAATAATGACACAACAATTTGCTCCAGTCATCCTCAAGATTGATGATGATCCTCAAGATTTGTGGTTAGCAACGACAAAAATTTGTTTCCATTGGAGATAAGAAACAAAAACAATTCAATATCATGTAAATACCAGTAAAACTGATATAATGTATTTAATGTATAAGTACAATTAATCTGCTTTGTCATTGATTAAGTAATATTGCACAGAAGAGTGGATTACAATTCAAAGATAAGCAAAAATATTTATACTTTTTTTAATACTTCATTTATTTTCAATAATTCGTTTTGGTACTTCAATTAGTCCCATCATATTATACGTATTAGAGCCGAGACATAAATCTGCTTACCGATTACCGAGAACACGACATGGATGCCATACCTGGAAAAACAGAATCAAAAATTACAAATTGGTTTATTACCTTTCATAGATTGAATACATAGAACAGAGTAAACAAAACACAGTAACCAGTAGGCAGTAATAAATAAAAAACTTAACAAATGTTATCCCACTAAAATAATTTAATATTAAAAGTGCCTACTTAAAATTACAAAGCAATAACACCCACAGAAGAAGACGTGGCGTAAAGTTATCAAAAATCGTGCGAGAGCAAAAATAGATTTATTATGACTTCGCTTTTAAAACGGTTACCTATTTGTAATTAAAATTACTGCGATTTAATTTTATGAATGACAAAAAGATGATCAATCATGTACCGAAATTAGTTGCTAGTAAGCTAGTTAAAAACATGACTGATAAATGTGCGAAGATAGATAGCAGATGGAATATTACTAATAAACAAAATGATTATAAGTAGGTACGTTTTCGTCTTCAATAGCCCCTGAGCCCCAGTTGGGCTATAGAAGGAAAAATCTATCCAAAAGAGGGCAATAATCGCTACGCTTAATAAGCGGGTTGGAGCTCGCAGTTTAAGCAGAGAACGCTTTCGCGTCGACCGAGTGTGACCGGTGTCCCTGTTAAATATGCAGTCCCAGTCACCGAGACACTGAGGCTCTATAGAGAATTACTCACCTGGTGTTCGCTTGGTTGCGCAACCAATCTGGCGGTACGACTATTTCGGATGGCGGCCTTAGAGGTCTATTTTGATACTGTCCGAAACCACGGTGTTTAGTAATAGTCCTTACGAAAACCGCTGGGAGAACAGGGATGGTAACAAAAGTATTCTTGGCTGGGTTGTGAGTAAACTTCTAAAAGGTACAACACCCCGGTTCGGACCAAGAATTACAACAGGGTCGTTTTACTTCCCTCGCGCCAGAGTTAAATTGATAATTCCCCCCCCCCCATGCTTTGCCGGCATCATACGGCTGGTAAGTACATGAAGAAGTGTTAAATAAGTAACTGCGTGGTTTTCACAATAGCACCCAGCAGTAAAGATGTGCAACGTGTAGCCTTGACTCGACAGTTTTGGCAACAACATACTATGTTTATTAATGCCCACTCACGGTGTGGACTATGATTATCGGTTTCTGTCAATGTATCGGTAGTAGATTGGTCAATTAAGTTAAAGGAATTCGAAGGGTTATACATATAAAAAAAATTCACAGAAGATTTACTTAAAGAGGAGTTGATGTGCAGGAAACAAATAACAATGTAAGAATTTTGTACAGACCAGCTGGTAGTTTCTGTAAAACCCATGAAACTAAATCATGAGTTTAAGTGCGAATGCGTCCAGGTTAAGATTTATCTATCGTAAATCGCGCTAGTTATGCTATGCATTTATATTTCCCGACAATTATTATACTAGTGAAATAGCACTAATAACAACAACATACAAGTATTTAAATAATAGTTATTTAGAAAATTGTAAGCATTTTACTGTTCACTCTAAAGAATAAGTACTAGGTAGGTACGTAATTGTAAAGTTTTTAATCAAAAAATATTTACCCTTTTACGAGATGTGGTAAAACATTCACTTAATCGGATTCTTGAGTACTAGTGCATTAAGACGAGTCGAGACGAGATCGAATTGCATTAGTTATCTAAAATATAGATAGCTATATTTATATTGTTCTTCCTATATTTCTGCAC